CTCTCTCCCTCTCTCTCTCTGTCCTCCCCCCCCCCCCTCCACCTCTCCCCCCCCCCCCCCACCCCCCCTCTCCCGCCCTCTCTTTCTATTTTTACTTGTCTCTTCCTCCTCTCTGTCCTCAGCCTTCTTTACCATGCTGTGTTGATTACAATACTAGCTGACTGACCTGTCTGGGCCTACTCCCACACTGGAGGCTCATCACTCATATTTCATCCTTTACATTACCTCGCTAGACTAATGTCGTGTTCCAAATGGCACCCTATTACGTATATACTTCCCTACGTTTGACCAGAGCCCTATGGTCCCTGGTCAAACGTAGTACACTACATAGGGAATAATGTGCCATTTGGGACAAAGCTTAACTTCTACCTATTGTCTCCGTGTCTCTCAGAACCCAGTGCTCCCCCCCACCATCACAGACCAGATCAGACTATGGGAGCTGGAGAGAGATCGACTATAGTTCTCTGAGGGTGAGGCCCTCTGTGTGTGCACGTGCTCGTTTTAATACAAGCTTTCATGAGCAGGTTTCTCTGTTTTTTTTATTGTGATGAATTATGTCCGTCCCTACCTAATGGTTGGTGAGATCACGCTCTCTCACCTAGGGGCAACCAGTGGCTCTCTGGTAATAACCATATGACACATGCCATTAATAGGAATTCAGAATCAGTTGCTGGGGAAAAAACAGGCTTCAGTAAGACTTCAGTGCTTTGAAATGAAACCAGTATGTATCAAGTGTGTTAGAGTAGGAGTGCTGATCTAGGATGAGGTCCCCTCTATCCATGTTAATACTATTCATTGTGATCTAAAAAGGCTAAACTGATCCTAGATCAGCACTCCCAGGGTTTTTTTTTTCTGCGTAGAAAAGTATTGGGCGGGGCCTCCTTAGTGTTGGGCGGGGCCTCCTTAGTGTTGGGCGGACCTCCTTAGTATTGGGCGGGGACCTCCTTAGTGTTTTTTCAGGCTACCCAGGGTGTTTTTTTAAGCCGCCGTCCAAACTGTAAATTATTTATTTGTGAAAATAATTTTGGGGGATGGTAAAAATGTTTTCATTGTAAACTTAAACAACTAAAACCAGATATAAAGTATGTAGAAAAGATAATGGAGCTACAGCGCCTTCGGAAAGTCCTCAGACCCTTTGACTTTTCCCACATTTTGTTACGTTACAGCCTTACTCTAAAATAGATACAAAAAAATAAAAATAAATAACACAATACCCCATAATGACAAAGTGAAAACAGGTTTTTAGAAATGTTTGCAAATGTATTAAAAATAAAAAAACAGAAATACCTTATTTACATAACTTTTCAGATCCTTTGCTATGAGACTCGAAATTGAGCTCAGATGCATCCTGTTTCCATTGATCATCCTTGAGATGTTTCTACAACTTGATTGGAGTACACCTGTGGTAAAGGCAATTGATTGGACATGATTTGGAAAGGCACACACCTGTCTATATAAGGTCCCACAGTTGACAGGGCATGTCAGAGCAAAAACCAAGCCATGAGGTCGAAGGAATTGTCCGTAGAGCTCCGAGACAGGATTGCGTCGAGGCACAGATCCCAACAACATAGTGGCCTCCATCATTCTTAAATGGAAGAAGTTTGGAACCTCCAAGACTCTTCCTAGAGCTGGCCGCCCGGGCCAAACTGAGCAATCGGGGGAGAAGGGCCTTGGTCAGGGAGGTGACCAAGAACCCGATGGTCACTCTGACAGAGCTCTAGAGTTCCTCTGTGGAGATGGGAGAACCTTCCAGAAGGACAACCATCTCTGCAGCACTCCACCAATCAGGCCTTTATGGTAGAGTGACGGAAGCCACTCCTCAGTAAAAGGCACATGACAGCCCGCTTGGAGTTTGCCAAAAGGCACCTAAAGACTCTCAGACCATGAGAAACAATATTCTCTGGTCTGATGAAACCAAGATTGAACTCTTTGGCTTGAATGCCAAGTGTCACGTCTGGAGGAAACCTGGCACCATCCCTACGGTGAAGCATGGTGGGGGCAGCATCATGCTGTGGGGATGTTTTTCAGCGGCAGGGACTGGGAGACTAGTCAGGATCGAGGAAAAGATGAACGGAGCAAAGTACAGAGATCCTCAGGACCTCAGACTGGGGCGAAGGTTCACCTTCCAACAGGACATCGACCCTAAGCACACAGCCAAGACAACGCAGGAGTGGCTTCGGGACAAGTCTCTGAATGTCCTTGAGCGGCCCAGCCAGAGCCCTGACTTGAACCCGATCGAACATCTCTGGAGAGACCTGAAAATAGCTGTGCAGCAACGCTCCCCATCCAACCTGACAGAGCTTGAGAGGATCTGCAGAGAAGAATGGGAGAAACTCCCCAAATACAGGTGTGCCAAGCTTGTAGCGTCATACCCAAGAAGACTAGATGCTGTAATCGCTGCCAAAGGTGCTCCAAGAAAGTACTAAGTAAAGGGTCTGAATATTTATGTACTTTTATTTTTATTTTTTATGTTGAATAAATTAGCAAACATTTCTAAACCTGTTTTTGCTTTGTCATTATGGAGTATTGTGTGTAGATTGATGAGGGGGAAAAAAACAATTTAATTAATTTTAGAATAAGGCTGTAACGTAACAAAATGTGGAAAAAGTCAAGGGGTCTGAATACTTTCCGAAGGCACTGTATATATATTTTTTAATAAGATAATCTTTGAGAACTAACAATCACTAGAAAGAAAAGAGAAACCCGCACACTGCTCTTGCTAGTCTAAAAATGTCAGTCGGTGCCATTTGCCACGGCCACCACCTAAGCCCCATTTTGATCAAGAAAAAAATCCTGACTCCTGCTCTGAGGCACTTTCTAAATATGGCCCCAGCCCTGTATTTTCTCCTGCGTTGTCCAAGGGACATCTAGCTACTCCCTGAGGACTTACAAAGCTGATTGATTTTGGGATTCATTTTCTTCCCCCAGTAGGTTATGACTGACATAGGGTGGCCTGTCTCTGTAGGATAGCGCACTGTCAATACAGGCTGTGTGTTTTTGTGTGTGTGTGTGTGTGGTGAGTTGTAACCCCTGCTCTCAGATGTGCTGTAAACTGGAATAGAGTGATAAAGTATTGATGTCATCTGCCAGCTATCAGCATCTGTTTCATTCTCTGTCTCTCGCTCCTCTCTACCTCTTTCTGTCTATCTACCTCTATCAATCTGTCCATCTCAGGAGTGCTGTCTAACCAGTGCCTCTCCCAGGCTGACTCTGAGGTGTTAAGGGACAGAGCTCAGGTCAGATACCTTGTTTTATTCTCTCTCTCTCTCTCTCTCTCTGTCAATGAACTCACCAATGAACGCTATTGTAATGAAACAAGGGAGGAGCACGAGGTCCAAGGTGTAATTCCAACCTACGAAGTTGGGGGCTCCAGTGACAGGGACATTACCGCTGCTTTCTTGGGGGAGCAGTGATTTAACCGTGCACAAGAAAGAATACTCTTAAATTAGCCTGGCTACCGTCTTCTATCCAACCTCTGACGTTTTCAACGATTTAAAGTGTTGTAGTTCAACAACGTTAGAATTCCATTACCATTATTAGCCTAACATGTAGCAACTTGTCTGACCTTCCTGTTCAAAAGTAGTGCACTACATAGGGAATAGGGTGCTATTTGGGATGCAGGCTCGTGTCTTTTATCACTTTAACACCCACTCTCTCCGTCTGTATCTGTTCTCCAGAACCTGGGCTGTCTGGTGTGGCAGAACGTGGGTGAACTTGATCACACAGAAGGGGCATAAGAGAGGAAAAGGAATAAAGAGATATATTTTTACATTAAATTATATTTTTCCCATAATGAGTTGGTTAGGACTGGCACCCAGGCTACAGTGACTGGTGTTGGGAAATACTAAATGGAGTAAGCTACTGCAAGTGCTTCGTCTCTGTTTTTTTGTTGTTGTTGTTGGTGATATTGTCCGTTGTCTCCTTTTGGGTTGATGGGCAAATAAAATGATTTGAAGAAATGTATGACAGCCTGCAATACCTGTAATTTTATGCATTACAGGCAAACTTTTCAGAAATGAAGCTTAGTGGTTAAGAGCGTTGTGCCAGTAACCGAAAGGTCGCTGGTTCTAATCCCCGAGCCGACTAGGTGAAAAATCTGTCGATGTGCCCTTGAGCAAGGCACTTAACCCTAATTGCTCCTGTAAGTCGCTCTGGATAAGAGCGTCTGCTAAATGTAAAAAAAATAAAATTAAAATAAATGTATTTCATTGCAGAAGAAAGAGCCATGCATAGAAATGTGGGGATTTAACATGCAGGTCTGATATAAAATGCATTTAATGTTTTCACAATGTTTTTTTAATACTGTATAATTTGATTAAATCAAACATATCAAAACATTTCACAGATGATACATTTGACACATTTAGTGCTATCAACACAGGGCAGGGTGAGTGATAAGGAAGAGATGGGGTGATACAATGCTTGGTTGACAGTCACATAAATGTTTGATGCCTTCAATCATATGTTTCTTGCTGATTTATCGGAAAAAGTCATGTCATGACAAGAAGGCAGAAGGACCGGTTTGTCTAAAGCAATTGTACTGGTTCAAGCTACAGCACAGATAATGTAATGGCGTAAATTCAAGCTACAGCACAGATAATGTAATGGCGTAAATTCAAGCTACAGCACAGATAATGTAATGGCGTAAATTCAAGCTACAGCACAGATAATGTAATGGCGTAAATTCAAGCTACAGCACTGATAATGTAATGGCGTAAATGGAGCTATATTTTGAGCTTGCTAGCCATGTACCTGCAAGTTCAGCGCGCTAATAGCTAGCTAACCTTAGCTAGTTAGCCAGCCAATTAAAGCAATGGCTTGATTACAGCATTTAGCTAGCTAACAACAGAGACCTAGCTGCTAGTTCAGCTATGAATAGTTGCTCATTGCAAACGTGAATTTCCGACATGTGGTGCACGTATTTGAACATTTATACGACTTGCATAAATTGACGCTTCACCTCTCGTCGAGCGAACCCCCTCATACACAATCGGCCACAAATGGAACCAGGGAGCTCGTGTGAAAGTCCATCCGGCTCTGGGGGTCCCGAACCGGCGGACCTACGCGAAGAGACCCCCGGCGAAGAGGCTGAGGATGGGGACAACAGCATCCTGAGAGGAGGAAAGGCAGGTGGAGGGAACGAAAACACTCTGGACAACATGAAAACAGAATGTGAGGATGATGGTGTTACTGGGAAAAAGATTGAGGCTGCTGCTGATGAAGAAGGCAAATATGAAGAGGAATTGGACCCTAGAATTCAGGCAAGTTTATGTTTAAATGTTTATTGAAAGTGTCTGCAGTCTGTACAGTATCTGACTTCTTGTTTTTATTGCAAACCGACGCGTCATACTGCTTACATGTATTGTAGGCTGCTTGACAACTGCATCCTTATTCCACTGTCAATATAGCTAAATTAGCTATAAATAACCATAGGCAAACTACATGTCAGTATGGCAGACGCTTGCATCATTTACCCTGGTTATGCAACTTAAAGGCCACATCTCTCATTGCAAATGGCTTCCACAATTTCACAGGGATTCCGTTCATACTTATTGTGATGAAGGCCAGCGCCAATACTAAATCTATCTCTCTCTCTCTCAGGACGAGCTAGAGCACCTGAATCAGGCCAGTGATGAGATCAACAAGCTGGAACTGCAACTGGATGTGAGTGAGCTCTTTGTCACCTAGCCTCCTCACCCAGAGAATCAAATCTTAACATGTGTCCGGAGAGAATAGGCCTATTTGTCACAGAACAGACTGTTTGCATCAGCCACACGACCCAACACAGTGTCTCTAGGACTGACAGGCCTATACACTTGAGTATATAAAACGTTAAGAACACCTGCTCTTTCCATGACATAGACAGACCAGGTGAATCCAGGTGAAAGCTATGATCCCTTATTGATGTCATTTGTTAAATCCACTTCAATCAGTGTAGATGAAGGGAAGGAGACCGGTTAAATAAGGATGTTTAAGCCTTGAGACAATTGAGACATGGATTGTGTATGTGTGCCATTCAGAGGGTGAATGGGCAAGACAAAATATTTAAGTGCCTTTTGAACAGGGGTATGGTAGTAGGTGCCAGGCGCCACCACTCAAAGGACATCCAGCCAACTTGATACAACTGTGGGAAGCATAGGAGTCAACATGGGCCAGCATCCCTGTGGAACGCTTTCGACACCTTATAGAGTCCATGCCCCGATTGGGTTAGGGTTAGGGGGGGGGCAACTCAATATTAGGAATGTTAGGAAGGTATTCCTAATGTTTGGTATACTCAGTGTATGCTAGCTCTATACTTTATAAGCTGTCTTTCTTGGGTATTGACATAGATAGTGTCATGTGTCATGTAACTCAGGTCTCACTTAGCCACAAGGTCCTCCTCAACACACTGTTAATTCACTGCACACAGTAATGTAAAAGTTTACATTTTCATACGTTGTTATTGAGCAGAGGTCAGAGAGGCTGTGTGTGGGAGATGACTTACTTCCCTTGCCTCAAGGTCTATTGAGGATGTTATTGGAGTGATATAATTCTATGGTAGCCTATCAATTACAGTACTGGTGAATGTGTCTCTCTCTCCTTCAGGATGCTAGGTCCAGCTACAGGAGAATCCTCACTGACTCAGCCAGGAAGCTCAATGCTCAAGGCTCCCAGCTAGGCACCTGCATCGAGAAGGCCAGGCCCTACTACGAAGCCCGCAGGCTAGCCAAAGAGGTTGGTGTTTGTGTGGGGTTGTGTGTCGGACTGGGTGTGTGTTTGAGTGTGGGTGCTCATCGAAATGTTTTTAATATTATCTCTGGTGTGACAAAATAGCCATTTAGTCAGCCGGCCTCTGTCAACCTACAGTGCCTTTGGAAAATATTCAGACCCCTTCCCTTTTTCCACATTTTGTTACTTTACAGCCTTATTCTAAAATGGATTAAAATGACAATGTGAAAACAACATGTTTTTAGAAATGTATTGAAAATAAAATACAGAAATAATTCATTTACTTAAGTATTCACACAAGCTCTGTCAAATTGGTTGTTGATCATTGCTAGACAACCAGTTTCAGGTCTTGCCATAGATTTTCAAGTAGATTTAAGTCAAAACTGTAACTCAGCCACTCTTCTTGGTAAGCAACTCCAGTGTAGATTTGGCCTTGTGTTTTAGGTTATTGTCCTGCTGGAAGGTGAATTAATCTCCCAGTGTCTGGTGGAAAGCAGACTGAACCAGGTTTTCCTCTAGGATTTTGCCTGTGCTCCATTCCGTTGATTTTTATATCCTGAAAAACTCCCCAGTCCTTAACGATTACAAGCATACTCATAACATGATGCAGCCATCACTATGCTTGAAAATATGGAGCGTGGTACTCAGTAATGTGTTGCATTGGATTTACCCCAAACATAACACTTTGTATTCAGGACAAAAATGACATTTTTTGCATTATTACTTTAGTATCTTGATGCATGTTTTGGCATATTCTGTACATGCTTCTTTCTTTTCACTCTGTCATTAAGGTTAGTATTGTGGAGGAACTACAATGTTGTTGATCCATCCTCAGTTTTCTCATATCACAGCCATTTAACTCTGTAACTGTTTTAAAGTCACCGTTGGCCTCATGGTGAAATCCTTAAGCGGTTTCCTTCCTCTCTGGCAACTGAGTTAGAAAGGAAACCTCTATCTTTGTCGTGATTGGATGTATTGATACACCATCCAAAGTGTAATTAATAACTTCACCATGCTCAAAGGGATATTCAATGTCTGCTTTTTTTTTTTTTTTACCATCTACCAATAGGTGCCCTTCATTGCGAGGCATTGGAAAACCTCCCTGGTCTTTGTGGTTGAATCTGTGTTTGAAGCTGGTGTAACTGAGTCAGGTTTGTAGGCCTCCTTGCTCGCACACGCTTTTTCAGTTCTGCCCACAAATGTTCTATAGGATTGAGGTCAGGGCTCTGTGATGGCCACTCCAATACCTTGACTTTGTTGTCCTTAAGCCATTTTGCCACAACTTTGGAAGTATGCTTGGGGTCATTGTCCATTTGGAAGACCCATTTGCGACCAAGCTTTAACTTCCTGACTGATATCTTGAGATGTTGCTTCAATATATCCACATCATTTTCCTTCCTCATGATGCTATCTATTTTGTGAAGTGCACCAGTCCCTCCTGCAGCAAAGCACCCCCACAGCATGATGCTGCCACAGCATGATGCTTCACGGTTGGGATGGTGTTCTTCGGCTTGCAAGTCCCCCCTTTTTCCTTCCAAACATAACAATGCTCATTATGGACAAACAGTTATATTTTTGTTTCATTAGACCAGAGGACATTTCTCCAAAATGTACGATCTTTGTCCCCATGTGCAGTTGCAAACTGTAGTCTGGCTTTTTTATGGCGGTTTTGGAGCAGTGGCTTCTTCCTTGCTGAGCGGCCTTTCAGATTATGTTGATATAGGACTTGTTTTACTGTGGATATAGATACTTTTGTACCTGTTTCCTCCAGCATATCCACAAGGTCCTTTGCTGTTGTTCTGGGATTGATTTGCACTTTTCGCACCAAAGTACGTTCATCTCTAGGAGATAGAACGCGTCTCCTTTCTAAGCGGTATGACGGCTGCGTGGTCCCATGGTGTTTATAATTGCGTACTATTGTTTGTACAGATGAACGTGGTACCTTCAGGCGTTTGGAAATTGCTCCTAAGGATGAACCAGACTTGTGGAGGTCTACCATTTTTTTCTGAGGTCTTGGTTGATTTCTTTTGATTTTCCCATGATGTCAAGCAAAGAGGCACTGAGTTTGAAGGTAGGCCTTGAAATGCATCCACATGTACACCTCCAATTGACTCAAATGATGTCAATTAGCCTATCAGAAGCTTCTAAAGCCATGACATCATTTTCTGGAATTTTCCAAGCTGTTTAAAGGCACAGTCAATTTAGTGTATGTAAACTTCTGACCCACTGGAATTGTGATACAGTGAATTATAAGTGAAATAATTTGTCTGTAAACAATTGTTGGAAAAATTACTTGTGTCATGCACAAAGTAGATGTCCTAACCGACTTGCCAAAACTATAGATTGTTAACAATAAATTTGTGGAGTGGTTGAAAAACGAGTTTTAATGACTCCAACCTAAGTGTATGTAAACTTCCGACTTCAACTGTAGGTGTTACCTACGTCGATGTCTATTCAGGAGACAAGACAACCAAGCACCTTTTTGTGATTTATTATTCTGTCCACAAATGTTGCTTGGTTCGCCTGCCACACGTCTGACTGCTATTGAGCGAGACAGACAGTCAAGGGAATCGTGTCACAAAAATTATAACTGGTGCTCAAAAGTGAAGCCGTCATCAATCTTCGCCTGACGACCCTAAACTTTGGGCGACCTTGTGCGTCTATCCGGCCCCGCCCCCTCCCGCTGCCGCCGCCTCTCTCAGCTCTATCCTCCCCTGTGATTCTGAGTCACCTTGGCTTGCGTCCGAAATGACACACTATTCCCTTTTTATAGTGCACTACTTTTGACCAGGGCCCTATAGGGAATAGGGTTGCCATTTGGGACGCAGCCCTTGTCTCAAAGTGCTTCTCCCCTTCTCCCTAAACCAACATCGACAAATCTTCCCCCTTCTCTGGCTTTTGACATAATTCACCAACTGGCGTGAATACGATCAGGACCAGCTATTTTTCTGTTTCACTTCTCTGTGCTTTGTAGCCGTTGCTGTTGTCTTCTTGTTTATACTTGGTGATGGGGAGTCTTCCTGTTTTCCTCATTGGCACCACCACCATCATTCTCCTGATTTTTAGAGGCTAATCATAACTTCCATTTAAATCAGATTTTCACTTAGTCATGGACTGACGTCAGTAAGTAAGGATTCACCCCTTAGTAATTTGTTCGTCGTATGATTGGTTGTAGGGATTAGTTATTGAACTATGATTGGTTGTGGTGTCTCTCTTACTAAACTACGATTAATTGTAGTGTCCTTTACTGAACTATGATTGGTTGTAGTGTCCTTTTACTGAACTATGATTGGTTGTAGTGTCCTTTTACTGAACTATGATTGGTTGTAGGCCCAGCAGGAGACGCAGAAGGCAGCGTTGCGGTACGAGAGAGCCGTCTCCATGCATACGGCTGCCAGAGAGATGGTGTACGTGGCAGAGCAGGGCCTCCTGGCGGACAGGAACACTCTGGACCCCACCTGGCAGGAGATGCTCAACCACGCCACCTCCAAGGTACACAGAGAGAGAGGAGGAGGGGGAGGAGGGGGAGGGGGAGGAGGGGGTTGGGGGTCCTCCAAAGCACAGGGAGAGAACAGGTCGTAGCTATGGTAGACCAGGGCCAGACCAGGGCCCGTATTCCTAAAGCATCTCAGAGTAGGAGTGACAGGCCCTGGGATATTCAACTCTGGTTCTGGTGGGCTGAAACACTTCTGGTTTCATTTTCTCCTTCTATCAGGGCTGATTCAGACGTGGTACGGCAGGTGAGTGGTTAACTACCAGGTAGAAAAGAGAACCATTAGTACTTCAACCCAAAGTCCAGGAGTTGATTATCTTTGTACTAGACAGTGAATACTTGTGGCTAATAGCTCTGAGCGGTTAGTGTTTTTTGAGGTCCTTTCGGTTCAATTTTTGAAAAATTAAATATCACGGTTTCGATTTAAAAAAACCCCGAAAACAAATGCATTATGAAAAATGGACATTAAAATGATATTAATGGAAATTCCAAAGCCAAAAAGAGTGAACGTTCAATTGCCAAAACATTGAAAATATTCCCTTGTCTCTGTCAGGTCCACATTGGGTAGACATTATTATTATTATTATTAAAGTCATACTCTCGTCTCTGCTCAGGCAGCAGCCAGACAGACAGACAGACAATGTTATCTCTGTGCTCCCAATACTGTACTGTCTTTAATCATTCTATTTAGCTAGCCAAAGTAGATAAGGCATACTTCCACCTACTGTCTCTATCCCTCTCTCTCTCATCGTTGTGTTGTGTACATTCCCCTCTCATACAGTCTATGCAGTCTGTGTGTATCTAACCTAACGTAGCAGGTGTAAAAGTGTATCCTTCTCTGTCTGAGCCGGGAAACAACAGACGCAATGGATTATGGTCATGTAGTTAATTATCACGTTTCTTTGCTGAACTAGGTTGAATATTTGACTAGTGAAAACTACAACTCCCTTCAGCTCAGCGTCCCACATAGTTCTTGACTTGATTTCTCTGTGAATTATTGGATTTCTCTCTAGAGAAACAGAGCGTTGGGCTCTGGAGTTGATTATCTCTGCACTAGACAATGACCCAGTCCTGGAGTTGATTATCTCTGTACTAGACAATCACTAGCCCCCTACTAGTGGCTAAAGCTATATCTGTGGTAGACAGTGAATGCTAGTGGAGGGGTCCTGTGAGAACTATCAATCTCTTCATCCACGAGATTGTACTTGAATCGGGTCCAATGTGAATTGTTAAGCCTCCTCACCAGTCTGGAGTGGAGGGTCTAAGGGTGTCAGGTGACCACAGCAGCTGTTTAGTATGTAGCCTGAGACGGCCAGCGTGGCGTAGGGGGACGGGCACTCTCTGTGCTTAATCAATGATCATTAACGTGGACCAGTAATCTTATAAAGATCAAGGTTGGACGTCCTCATTCTCATTGGAATGGCGTTCCCGCATTTCTATTCTGCTATGGAAGTGACTCAAGTGAGCCACAGTGCACTTTAACGTGTGTGTGTGTGTGTATATATATGAGATTGAAGAGAGGGACAAGTCAAAGATCTCACTCAGGTATCATCATCCCCACGCGTCAACCTAACGGTTGATAGTGTTGCTGATGGCTTAATAATGCTTTGTTCCTCTCAGAGGGTTGGTGTGAGTGACGTGAGGTGAAATAAGGTATCCTACTCTTGGTTGATTTTTCTCCTTATTTAAAAAGTGCCAGTGTGTTGATGCTGGTGATTTGATGGGGAAAGAGGCACCAACAGAGGGAGGCTGGCTCAGGGTGGGTTGATGTCCGAGGGCATGACCCCGACGGCTGCTGGAGGTGTGTGTGTGTGTGTGTGTGTTCCCCAGGTGAACGAGGCAGAGGAGGAGCGGCTGTGGGGTGAGCGGGAGCACCAGCGGGTCACTCAGATGTGCCAGGAGGCAGAGCAACGCGTTCAGACCCTCCAGAAATCCCTGAAGAGGTTCATCGTCAAGTCCAAACCTTACTTTGAGCTGAAGGCTCAGTTCAACCGCCTACTAGAGGTGAGTAGCCATGTCCCAGACAGAATGGCCCATGGGGCAGGACCCTCTCTCTAAATGAGTTCATGGTTGTGCTCACTGTAGGATAGTCTGAAACAGTTAAAATGTACTGTCTGCCAGTGTCATGTTTCAGCAACGTGTCCACATTAAGCTGCGGTGTCCCTCGTGGTTTGGTGCTACGACCAGTCTCTTTCTGATCTACCATGTTTTAAGCAACACATGACCTGCTAGTTTTGACAAGCGTGAGACGCCCCAATTAATTTCAAGGAAACCAGGGCATAAGCAGCGCTGCTCAGATTATTATATATATTTTTTTTCAAGATTTTGACGAGCGGCTCACCCGAGAACAATTGTTCAATCAAATCTAAAAACACAGTAAACATTTCGGGGGTACAAATCCTGTTACTTCAACTTTATTTCCTGACAGGAGCACAAGGGGAAGGTGGTGCAGCTGGAAGAACGCGTTGCAAGGGAAAAGATGCGCTACTCCGTCGCCCTGCGCAACCTGGAGCAAATCAGCGAGCAGATCCACACCCAGCGGGGGCGTGTCCGAGCCACCAGGGCCCGCCCCGTAGCCTGCGGTGGGCGGAGCTCCCCAGTGGGGGCGGAGGCTGAGGTCAAAGCTGCGGTCAGGGTTCAGGTTGGAGGAGCCTGTGGGGGGAGGAGGAGGAGGAGGAGGAGGAGGAGGAGGAGGAGGAGGAGGGTTGGAGGAGAACGACTGGGCTGATGGAGAGCAGACCAGGCAGTGGGTGGAGAGACACAGGGAGCAGGGCTGGGGTCACAGGGAGAGGGGTGAGGCAGGGTCAGACTCCATGTCTGTCATCAGCCTCCAGACCTTCGCCTCGGACCTGGAGAAGTGTGACTCGGTGGAGCACCTGGGGGACCTGAGTGATGTGAGCAGCCTGATGGGAGAGGACTGGGAGAGGGAGAGGGACCGGTCACTGATAGCTGAGAACAGAGACCGAGACAGGAACCCCAGGGCAGAGGAGAGAGTTGTTGGGGAGGTCAGGGAGGTGGTCATCCCCACTCCAAGGCAGGATAGATTGGAGGAGGTGAGGGGGGCGATCGGGAGAGAGAGACAGGAGAGCTTTGTCAAGCAGCACCACAGAAGTGTGAGTTTGTGAGACCAGAAGAAGAATGGACTGGAGGAGTGATGAGTGATGGAAGGATCAGATAAAGGAATGAAATCAGAGGGAGAAAAGAAAAGAGGTTGTAGAAGTTCTGTTTGAGGTATTGAAATGTAGAACACTGATTGAAACCGAGGCTGAGTCCCAAATCGCACCCTATTTCCTATATAGTCCACTACTTTTGACCTGGGCCCATAGGGAATAGGGCACCATTTGGCACAGAGCCTGCATCATTGTGACACTGCAGAAGGGAGTAGCAGGGAGGAGGGTGGCTGGTACATCATGCACACATGAATGAATAACAATGTGAGAGTGACCGAGAGCGAGAGAGAAGGGGAAGTGTTAGGTGATTCACTAGGTCCCTGTGGGACTTGTAGTTTCCACACTCTGATCTGTCTATTGTTCAACACAGTAAGATAGCCGTGACAGAGACTACAACGCATGGCAAAGCTAGTCTAAACACAGTGCTTGTATGTAGATACAGAGACATAACATAAAATAGAGCATACTCTTAACTCTACTGACCATTTCACATGCAACTACTGAACGTTTAAGCAGCGAAGCTTATTTTATGAATGCTATTTTTGTATTGACATTAGTCCCTGAATGAACGCCTTTTTGCTTTTTCCATATTGATTGAATTAACCACAGAATTTGGTTTTCCCTCGTCCTTGGAATGAACAAAAGAAATACAAAAATAATATGATTATCGTATTTTAAACACCTTAAAACATTTTAATTTGTTACTAGACCTGTTTTTATTGGGTTTTTTTTACCCCAGTAGAATGTTCTGGAAATGTTCCCAGCACCTAGAGGACCAACAAACCTCAGACGCCAGACTGTAGAGAATGTCTCTGTCACTCACATTGACCTAACACTTCCACAGCGCTTTTCTCTCTGACCTTTCACAATCCCTGCTTTCTGTCAGGAAGACATTGTGTCCGCTAGCCTGATCTCACACAAGATCTACATCCAAAATGGCACTCTATTCCATATGTAGTGCACTACTTTTGACAAGGGCTCATAGGGTTCTGGTCAAAAGTAGTGCAGTATATAGGGAATAGGGTGCCATTTGGGACTCATTCAAGATGTTACACTGCATGGTGGGAAATGGTTCTAATAAACTCCTTTAGGATCGCGTAAGCCATAAAGGACAGTTTGATGAACATCTAAAATACGATTTTTATTTTACTCAAATGTATTTTAAGTGCCTTTGGACCTCACATTTAACACGCAAATACCCCCTAATGTCTTTGATGACATTTTTTGTAATCAAGGAATTCTAACCGTGAATTATTTAATTTCTTAACTGTCTTCCTTGAATAGTTAGACTATTTAGTGAAGTTTTTTAAAATTGTTTTAGATTGAAATACTTGACCAGTGTTTTACCATAGTTAACATTGTTGAAAAATCTACTTGCATTTCACCTGCACTTAACACCACTAAATTGTATTTTAGTGAAACACCTGGGTATTGTAGAAGGCAACATTATTTTTGTAGGGAGGGTTTTCACTTCCTGGGGTCATGTGACCAGTTTCTTCACTTGTTCATTTTGTACCTGTTGACAGGCACCTTACCTTGAATTTATTGATGTCACCAGACAGTGACACTAGATCACTACACCAGAGACACAAAGAGGGAGGGAGGGAGGGATGACGGTGAGGGAAGAAGGATATGGTAAAGTAATGGTATTTACTGTTAATGTACATACTTTTAATGTTGTTTTGTTTCGTGCAAACCTGTGCCATTGATTTGAATCTTTTGACTGTTTAAATTTTGCACATGAATACTTGTGGCGTTTTTGTTTTTCCCTTTTTACACTCCTTACCCCTTCACCCACCCAATCTTTCAGTTCACCCTTGTTACCTGGCTGTTCCCTTCTCTTAACCTGGCAATATCATCCTTGTGACTTGGCTGTTCCCTCCTTAACTGGTCAATTCAATCCTTTGACTGCGTTCCCTCTCTTAACCTGGTCATTCATCCTTCTGACTTGGCTGTTCCCTTCTCTTAATCCTGGTCATCTCATCCTGGACTGACTTGGCTGTTCCCTTCTCTTACCTGGTCAATAATCTTCACTTGCTGTTCCCTTCGTAACCTGTTATCATCCTTCTGACTTGGCTGTTCCCTTCTCTTAACATGGTCATATCATCTTCTGCTGGTGTTCCCTTCTCTACTGATCTCCTTTGCTTGGCTGTTCCTCTCTTAACATGTCTATCACCTTTGACTGGCTGTCCCTCTAACTGGTCATATCATCCTTCTGACTTGGCGTTCCTTCTCTACTGGTCATATCACCTTGTGACTGGCTGTTCCCTCTTACATGGTCATAATCCTTGTGATGGCTGTCCCTTCTTAACTGGTCATATCACCTTCTACTGTGTTCCCTCTCTTAACCTGTCAATCACCTTGTGACTGCTGCCCTCTCTAACCTGGTCCATATCATCCTTGTGACCTGGCTGTTCCATTCTCTTAACCTGGTTCTCTTATCACATCTGCTTCTTCCCACAATGTTCCCACTACACCCCCCCCCCCCCCCCCCCCCCCCCCCCCCCCCCCCCCCCCCCCACTCCATCCCCTATAAAAATGCTGACTTGGGGTCAGTGTCTGGTTCACTCCCAAATGGCACCCTATTCCCTATATAGTACACTAGGGCCCTTAGGGCTCTGGTCAAAAGTAGTGCACTACGTAGGGAATAGGGTGTGTGAAGCGTTTAATGGAAGGTCTTCTCATTTGCCTGCTCCACTTGACACCATGTTTTATTTGTTCATGTATATGGGGTGCATCCCAAATAAAGTAGTACAATATTCCCTACATAGTACAGTACTTATGGGCGCTGGTCAAAAGAAGTGCACTATATAGGGAATAGGGTGCCATTTGAAGTGTAGTGGCTGTATAATAATAATACTGATGATATGAATGTTAACTTATTAATGGTGTATATGTACATTTATGGAATATGATGCTGTTGCAACCATTAAACTTTTTGATTTAAGATGATGTTGCATCTGTAGAGTTTTAGATATTTCCTACACTGCTAGAAGGCTTCTATGGAATGGGGTGTTCATATGGGTAAAGTCATATAGCCCAAAATAGAAAAAGTGATGGTCACTCCCAAAAAGACTGCACACCTATGCATTGAAAAAAACTTGTTTCAGTCTTGTTTTTGCGTCTCTATTTTCAGTTTTTGATTTAGAATAATTCCAGACTACCAACTATGGCTTTAGCTCTTCATGTGTGGTTGTGCGAACCATTGATGCATAAGGTGTATTTTGTCATGCCATTGAAATCACAGTAGGACACGTTCATTTGCAGATCATTGTACCCCATTGTCATAAGCAGTTGCCACTGTTGTATTGTACTCTCCAGTACATGTTCACATTTTACATTGACTTTCTGTAGAATTGTACAACCATCCCTGGAGGCAGAGTTATTGTACCATGATATTAAGTGCAGGTGGGCCTCTATCGTAATCTGCAGTCTGAGAGAAACACAGGGGTTGAAATAACACAACACCCATGATAACAGCATCCTGCATGTTAGGTCTGTCTACTCTGTGATACTGAATATCATTGAGACATGCTGAGTCCCAAATGGCACCCTATTCCCTATATAGTGCCCCCATTGGGCTCCGGTCTAAAGTAGTGCACTATGTAGGGAATAGGGTGCCATTTGGGACACAAACCGAAAGAAAACGGGAGATCATCCTCTGTTTCTCCGAGTTTCAACTATTAAATGGTGATATAAATCTAGATATATAAAATGTAGAGAACAGCTGCACTTTGAACCCGCCGGCGGCAGGGGGAGAGAGTGAAATAGAAGAGGTGGAGTTAAATAGGTGTGGTGGGGTGGGGTGGGGGGGGGGGGTGATAATTGATTTGTGATTGTGAAATAAAAAAAGAACTGGGGGGCGAGGCGAGAAAAGAAAAGTGGCGACAGACTGTAATTTTGGGGGCCGGAGAGAATGGGAAAGTGACAAATGATTGGAGGGTGAGCAATCACAAGGGACTTCTGTCAAAAGGATGGCAGGAGCGAAGGTGATGACAGCTCTGCTAAAATGGAGACAAACTCACCTACCCTTTGAAGCGCTCTAGCGTGTCCCCGCAAATGGCGCCCTATTTCATACATAGTGAACTACTTTTGACCAAGGCCCATACTGTAAATAGGGAATACGGTGCAATTTGAGATACTACAACCCAGGGCTTCAATGAGCACGGTTACATGCACAAAATAATAAGATTATTGTGGATAGATTAATATAATAGCTAGTTTAAAACGTTTACATGCTTTGGAAAAATAACGTGAAGTCAGCCTACTGATGGCGCTGATAAATGCAGAACATCGGCAATCAAAATAAACGTTCTACCACAGCATCCATGTTATGTTTGAGAAGCATACTTGATTCTGAGTAAGGAAATATAAAGTTTGTATGTGAAAACGACTTACTTCTCTGACGCATACATTCAGTTCCAAACACACTTCACTCCGGCTAAAGAGGGAGGCTCTCGGCTGGTGCTGGCACATGCGCAGATCAAACACGCCGCTGGAACGCCGATAAAGAAGTTTAGGCCTACCTGTCCTAATAATTCGATAGATTGCTCAGAAAACCAGATGTTTTAATCGGCATATGCTTACTTCGATTTTCACTTTACACCGATTAAGATAAGCAGAGTAAGGTGTTCACATGACTATTGCGTAATCTGCCTTCTGCCATAATCAGTTTAATATCAAATTATTACTGTGCATGTAAACGTACTCATTGAGTATTTGAGAGGCAAAAAATAGAAACTTTGATATCTCTTTTCATGTTCAGATGAACTGACCTTTCAGCACCATATTATAGAGCTGTCCTTTCAGCACCACATTATAGAACTGTCCTTTCAGCACCACAGTCTAGAACTGTCCTTTCAGCACCACATTATAGAGCTGTCCTTTCAGCACCACATTATAGAACTGTCCTTTCAGCACCACAGTCTAGAACTGTCCTTTCGGCACCACATTAT